TGCTGCAAAAAGTTGGAAAAAAACCATGTGTGATCTACAAGTCATTGTGCTAACAAATGAGTGGAATGACATGGAATTGCATCATATCATGTCATATCATATACCATGCCCATCAAACCACCCTAGGTTCCTGAACAGCCCACCCTCCCCACGCCCCGTGGCCAGGCCACAGGGTCGTTGCGGCGTGGCCGCGGGGCGCACCACATCGGTGCCCGCGGAGGGGGGGCGCACCAGGTCGGCCACGTACCTCGGAGGGGGGTGGAAAACGAATGGAGACAGAACTACAGCATGCAATAGCATGCAATAGCATGCAATATCGTCCTTCTCGGTCTAAGAGTGCCCAGCAAAACCACTGTGAGCTCACAGCACTTTGGCTGAATCTCCCAGATCCGCCCTCTGTGCTGATCCTAGGCGTTCCTTCCTTCCCACGTGCCGGCACAGGGGTTGAGCGCACTTGGCGACGGCGCGATCCCAGCGCGTGGTGCTGGCCACGGCCGACTGGTCCTGGAGCTGCCACCGGTGCCCTGGAGCTGCGGAGAGGAGCTCCTGAGGACGAAGAAAGCGGACGAAGGCACCGCCAGGACCACCAGGTGGAAGAATGATCCGTTGACATTTAGGTGGGAAGATCGGTTTTTTCCAAGGAGGAATTGTTTTTCTACCTACACTTGAATGACTGTTTGTGACCTTGCTAGTGAACGTTAAGGAGTGGGCATGTGTACTGAGCGACCTGGCCAAGCGTCAGTGGTAGATATCCCCTCAGAGCTCTGTGGAGCATCATCTCATTTTCTAGTTAAACAGGTGAGAAGGGTCAGGGGCACAACTCGCAGGGCAAAGGCCACATCCAATCCAATGAGAGCTCTGCCATCTTGTGAGACAAGAAGGGAGGGGCCCCCAGTCCAAGGAGTTAAAGCCTGCTAGTTGGTGGGTCCCACCTTCTTATCGGTTTTTGTATGCTGAGAATTGAAGTGAGGGCAGCACCTTTCTTCACCCTTCACTTGTGGGGCCTTGCTTTCACACACTGGCATCGAGCAACACCTTCCTCGCCCCAACGCAGGCAAGCGCTCGGAAACATGAAACCTACAAAATCCACCAAGACCAAGTTCCAAATTCCTCTGGTTTGGAAAGGGTGCTTTGCGGATTCCGCCTGTTCTACACACTCGGGCATCAAGCCTGCGAAAGGGCCCAGCATGCAAGGCCAGGAGTGCTCTCCTCGTCTGCCCTGCGGCGGAGGGCGTGGTCAGACGTCAAGAACGCAGTCGCTTTAGAGAGGTTGAAGGGAGGCCAACGAGAACACTGGACCATGGCCACCCACCCAACAATAAAGCAATCAGGGACAATATGGCGCAGAATGCCGAAGAGATCACATCCTCAAAGGACAAGGTCCGAAGAAATTGGACCTTGCTCGGTTGCTTTCACCTCCCAATCACGGAAAAAACAGGGACCAAAGACTTGACTCAACCCTTCGGGGAAAACAAAAGAGACGTCTCCGATCGTCTCTCATCTTCCCTTGACTTCACCGCCTCAGCGGCAAGCCGGACAGCGCCCGCAGCGTGGAGGTCTTCCCCGCGCGCGCCGGGCCCACGAAGCCCAGCTTGGCACAGCGAAGCTGGTGTGTGCCTGGAGCTGGGCAGGTCGGTTCAGGGGGAGTTCCACGAAACCAAGCCAGAAGGAAACGGCCACCCTCTGACTCAGGTTCGCATGGTTTGGACTTTCGTCGTTTACGAGGAAGGGGGGGGTCGTCCGCTTTCAAGTTCGCACGTCAGACGCATGCTTGCAAAGGTTCGGATAGCTGTGGGCTCCAGCACAGTGAAGGAATGCTTAAGAACCCCGAAGTGCGATCAAACATGAAGACCACCCCCATCAGTGGAGGTATCGAGATATGCCAAGCGGGCTTAAGGGAGGACGAGGTGCTTTGGCATACAAAACCGTCTGGTTTTGGATGTGATCCGTGGATGAGCCTGCTCTCCAACCAAAAACAGTGATTGCAAAACATCAACTTTCGGGAAACAACCGGTGACGATGAAACGCCGCTGAGAGGGGACGAGGAAGATCTGCATAAATCCATTTGTTTGGTGGCTTGTTTCCCAAGAAGTCTTCGTTGCTTGCAGCATGGAATTGAGGGAGGCCAGGCATTTGGAAGCTCCCTTGCAGTACTTCGACTGTGTGTCTAGCTTCTTGTTTGGAGGAGCAGCAGCAAATCTACTCGTCCAAAGGTTTCCAAACAGGACGTGGGCCTGACAAGTTTACATCAGGGCATGTGTGTTTACATCGCGCGGCCCTCGCACGTCGAGTGACAGCAGCATGTGATTCGCTGTGCTTTTTGGCCCAAAGACACCACTCGCGCATAAGATCTTGGACCACGCCACGTGATCATGGGTCAGTGATCATGGAGGTCCTCCTGGAGGCCCTACCATCAAGACCAAGTGCAATCACCCAAAACAAGAAATGGGAGCACCCTCCTAGCAAAAGAATTGGACTGATCTAGTTTAAGCACCGTGTTTTTGTCCTTTCCTGCCGGATGGGGACCATGCCTTGTAGCAGGGCTCTGCGGAAGGCATCCTTTGCATCCTCGCTCAACGCCAACGGCATGTGGCGGGCCGTGCTTCGCTGCTTGCGGAACATCTCGAGCTGGCCTTGGAGAAGCACCGCCCAGTAGCTTCCGCCCGGGGAGGACAGCAACAGAAAGGCCTCTTGTGGAAGTCTGCCTACCCTCGGTCACCCGATCGCCCCGGTCGGTCGCTGGGCCCCCCGGGCTGGCGCGTCGCCGTTGCGACGGCAAGCGGGGCACCGGGGCCGAGGTGCTCAGCGACTCCCGGCTGCTGGCCTCCGAGGCGCACCGAAAGCGGCCAGCCTCCCCTGGCTCCCCCCCGCCTAAGTAGGGACTGCACGTGAGAAATTGGATGGGAGCTGATAGAGACTAATAGGACTGCACCCAAAATCGCCCACCACCAATTTCTAATGTAGTAGGAGAGGGGAGGGCCAGTCTTGAGGGTCCTGTTCGGACTTTGGCACCGCGAATGACTTGTGAGGTAGGAAACCCACAGTTCCAAAGAGAGTGAAACAGAAGCGTATGAGGCCTACCTTCTAGTGGACAAACGCACAACTACCAGAGTTGGTCGGGAAAGGGAGGACTTCCTCCACCAGGGTGTTGCACAAGTTCTGTTATATAAATTGTTATAAATCAACTCCTTGGGGGCAACTGCGGAGGTGCAATCTTGAACCCTCCTTAAAACTCCAAGCTACAACCCAGCACTTGCTGTGTTCAACCTCATGTTCCTCCAAAGAAGTCCCACATTCCCATTGCGACCAACTGGCAGGTCGCGGCTGCGGGCTGGTCTTGGTCGGCTTCCCTTGGCGGGCATTCAGTCGCTCGCGGGAGGAGAAACAAGAATTTCGGCAGTCACGAGCCCCCCCCCTTTAACTTGCTTATGAAGTGTCAACTTCGTCGGCAGCTTTGGCACTTCATATTGAACACCAGGCGTTCACTTTGCCAACCCCTCCCCCCGCCTTTCTCGATGGCCACCACAGTGTTGCGGCGCTTCTCCCGTGGAGGCGTGGCATGCTCAAAGTTGGTCGAGAGCTGCTTGTGAAAGCCATGGCTTGGTGGTGGTGAGCCTCGCCAAACTCCAGATGCCAACTAGACTGCAAGGTGCTGGAGTCAAATATCATGCTGCTCTTAAGGCATCCGAAACCGGCAGCATCCACCGGATTCCGCGCCGGTCGTCTACGGACGACACGCCATGGGTCCCACAGCCGACGCCCCCCCGCCTGAGCCCGCCCGTTCGGCGCTGCCGGCCAGCAAACCCGTGCGCGGGGGCTCGGAGGCGGCACGCCTCCGGGGTCGCTATGGAAGGTCTCGGTGCGGCGTCTCGGCAGTTCTGGGGGGTCTCGGTCCGCATTTCTTTGGATGGAGGGCGGCTATGCTCTAGAATCAACTTGGGATTGTTGAGTGTTGAAGCAGGCCAACTCACCTGGCACGATTGACCTTCGAGGTCCACGGCGATTGACTTCGGAAGACCTCGACCCTGAAAAATGACCTGCAGGAAAAAAGATTCCTCTCATGACCTTAGCCCTGCTGAGCCACTCCAGTCCTGCTGACTTCGAGTTGTCCTCAGGATTAGCGTGACCTTTCGCCACCTCCAGCTGCGCACTGGACTAACTTCACGCACCTTAACCAGAATCCCACCACATCCAGAGCCTCAAAGTCCCTGTGGGCTGCGTGGAAGCTCGAGAATCCTCTGCGGATTCCGACGGCGCGTGGCTGGTGGTGCCCAAGCTTGTTCGACTCCTGGCACGTGCCACAAGACGACACAGCTGAGCGCCTGAGTTCAGCGTTAAAACGTCCACTGCTGTGCAAGGCTCGATCTGGACAGGTTGTTGCCCTTCAACTTGTTGAGCATTGAAGTTCTTGGGCTCTTCTTTCGCCCCTCGCTCAGCCTGGGCAAAAGGTGAGATGTCCTGCCGATGGGATGGTGGAATTGAACAATCATCACTCAAAGGCGTCTCCAAACTGCATGGGAACCATCATGGGAACCATGATTCGCCTCAAATAGTACCTATGAGGACCGTGACGGGGAAATGTTAAAGTTTCTCTGCCAAATCCTCAATCCTGAACAGGGGCCGCAGGACGCAAGTAAAAACGTGCCCACTTAGACTTAGCACCTGGATTCTTCGGTTTTTATATGGCTCCGAAGGCATGTTGGGCCCAAAGTAGCTTGCATGCAGCCTAGGCCTAGACTTCAAACAAGTCTTCGATGATGAGCATTGCTCAGCCCAACTACCTCCACCCCACCCCACCACCCCACCCACTTGATGTTGCACCCTCCTCCACCTAAAGATTTTAGCAAGAGACCCCCCAAAAACATGGCGGGGCACTTCCCCACCCCAGCACTCACCAAAACGTGCTCCGCGTGGCGTCATCTGCACATGGGGCTCCGGCTTCCGCCGGCCTCCCACGCTGACGGTCACCGCCGAGTCGGCGATGCTCACCTCAGAATCGGTGCCAAGGAGCCATCTTGCGGTTGTGGGAGATGGAAGCTTCAATCCGGATGCAGCAATGCATGTGCCAATCATATAGGATCATTACAGTATAGTTCTTCTTTTCGTCCTTCTCAGATCCTTTGCAGTGCCGATCGTCCACTTCGGTTGAAAAGGCTAAGGCTAAGGAACATTCAGAAGACTCTTGAGGTCTTGACTAGGTAGCGGCAAAGGCGCAAGCTTCAATTGCCCACTGCACATGGCAGCTCGCGCCAGCCGAAGGGTCGTGCAGAAACTGCATAAAAGTGCACGGCCTAAAGACTTGAAAGAACCTTGCTTCTCATGCGATGCCCATTTTGAAGGCAGCCTTGGTCTTCCTCATGACAGAGTTGCTGTACGAGACATTCATCTCAGCGCCATGGGCTTGACGTTGCTTCGAGTGCATCTGGTGGCACATCGCCATCTTCTTCGAGCCGAGCGAGACGTAGGTCTCGCGGGTCGACAAGTCGGCCCTGCAGTCGTGCAAATCGCCCAGGAGACCCACAGAGGTGGCATCGCCGTTGATGACCAGCGGTGATTTGCCCAACGCCGCGATCGCCTCATCCAAGATCCGCTTGGCCTCCTCCGGTCTGCCGCAGTGCGACCGCGCTCCAGCGCATCGTGGGTCAGGTGTCGGTTCCAGTGGCGCTCCACCTGAGGATGTCCCGGAGTCTCCGGCACCTGGGCACGACGCTCCAGCATCAAGGGCTTCAGCTCCTGCTCGCTACGCGTCTGCACCACCGAAAAGCCAGAGGCCGTCAGCCGGCCCAAGGCCTGCAAGGCCTCGTTCTGCGCCGCTGGCAGGCGCAGAGAGATCAAGACGTCGCGCCTCTCTTCAGCGAAGAGGTCGCCCAACTCGACTTTCACCCCATCCTGCGTTGGCTCCACTGGGAAGGTGGTGAAGGCGCGATCAAATTGGACGCCCGGTGCCAACTCCAGCTTTAACGAAACGTTCTGGTGCGTGGTGGACAGCAGGCCTCCCAGCGCTTCCCCAAAGCATTCAGCGATTTGGTCCTCGGACTGCACATGGCTGTAGCTGCCCTCGCCCGCGTCGGCGATGCGCTGCAGCATCTCCGCACGATGGTCCTGGCCGAAGCCGAAGGTGGAAATGGTGCTCTTGCAGCTGCTCAGTTCATCCAGCATGGCCAACGTGGCCGAGCAAATGGCGCCGCTCTCGGTGATCCCGCAGTTCGCATGGCCGTCGGTGAAGAGGAACGTGGAGCGCACCACCGCATCCGGGTCGAGGCCAGCCGCCAAACGGGCTGCCCGGTCCTCTGGCATCTCCTCAGCCCTCTCAGCGGAATTCGTGCAAAGGTTCCAGAAGCTCCCCAGCCCCACCGACGACGCCACCGACGCCGCTGCGGAGGAGGCCGCCGCGCCCCAGGAGGCGCTACCGGTGAGGGGCAGCAGCACCGGGCGGAAGGTCTCCGCTTGGTCGAAGGATAACATGTGGTCGACCTTCAGCTCGCGTCCATCCTTCATGTGCAGGGTGATCATCACCTCGAAAGTGCCCCAGCCCAGGCGAGTCAGCTGGAAGGGCGGCTGCTGGACCTCAACGATGGGGTCACGGAAGGTCTCGTGGAGCTCGAAAACCACCTTCTGCACCAAGGCCTCGTCTTCCGGCTTGTTGAAGCGCACCGCCACCGTCCACTCATGCACGCGGGGGCACCCGATCGGCGGCTCTTCAATGCGGCCATAGTGTTCCCCATTGGCGGCGCGTGCAGCGGCCTCGTCGTCGGGGAGGAGGCGGTAGAGGTTGCCCACCTGGACTGTTTGCTTTGGGGAGCCAGCAAGCCGGGCCACCTCCTTGTGAAGCTCCAGACCTTTCAGAAGGCCTCCCGACAAGTTCGTCTGACCACTGATCTGGATCTTCTCCACCGCCGCCTTGAGCCGCTCGCGGCCGGCGGCGTCGCAGCGCGTGAGCGGGCAGGTGACTTTCACGTCGCTGCCGTACTCCACGATGCCCAGCGAGTCCTTCTCGCACAAGTAGCGGAGCATGAAGATCATGGTCTGCTTCACCAGGCGGATCTTCTCACCTTGCATGCTGCCGCTCTTATCCAGCACTGCCACCAGGTTCAAGGGCGCCCGCTGGTCGCCCTGCTCCTGTGGCGCCACCACCGACAGCACCGCCCGAAACTCTTGCGCCTCAAAGGCCACAACTGAGCGTTCCAAGGCCACCTCGGCCCGCAAGCGGTCGGCAGCGTTGACGGCCTCGCCCTCCACCACGCTCCACCCATCCAACACCGAGGAGGGTGCATTGCTGAGCACTTCATATGAGGCCATGCTGGTCGAAGCCGCGAGGAGTCGTTCACACGGAGCGCGTTTTTGTCCGGCCGCGGGGCGTTTGGAAAGCAAGGTCTTGAGCCATTACAGTATAGTATATATAATCTATATAATATATATATATATATATGTGCACATGTGTGTGTGTGTTATATACTGATGACCAGGTAGCAATGAAATGCCGCCCACAAATCGTGTGGTTTCCTTTGCTGCATCTTGCTGGCTCCGGCAGCCCCACAGAGCCCCATGGATCTTGTCAGAGGGCCTTTATGGGCCCAGCGGGTCCTTTTTGGGCCGTGACCACGCGGGTCTCACCTATAGCAGGTGTCTTTTCTGCTTGATGATGCAGTCCAATGAGTGCAAAAGAAAGGCAAACTTGTTTTTCTTGCAGGCGACGGATGCCCACCTTGCAATGGACTGGACCACTTCCAAACGGGCACAAAAGAATCAGTCTTCCAACAGAATCTCACTTGCTGCTTCCGCACCTGTTTGACCTACCTGCCCCAGCTGCCCCCACTCCCTCTTAGCTCAGGTCGCGCTGGTCACCGTGGACTCGCTCGCGCTCTCGCTGTCGCTGGGCAGCAGTGCCGCCTCCAGGCGAAGGCCCAGCTCGGCACCTGGGCGGCGGAAGGACGGTGGTTCAGTCCCTTCCAGGTCCCTTCTTCAACCCACACCCCCAAAAAATGAGCGAAACAGCAGTTGGAGCCATCTCTCTAACTTCTTGCGTGTCTGTGGGCACGCAGACCAAAAGCATGGTGGCCAATTGAAAGACCCTCGCACGAGGGTTCCATCACTCTTTGACAGCAGTCCCATCATCCCATCGATGAAGATGAAAATCATCTACCACTCTGGACCTACTCTAAAATCTCACTCGGCTCAACTCAACCCCAGAGATCCCAGAGCGCCACAGTGCATCCCCCCTACAAGCCTTCCCCTTCTAAAAAAGACTCCAGGACTCAACACTCTGCTCTGCCCCCAGAGCACATCTTCTCCTCGTCCCCGCGATGACCCAAGGCACTGAGACTGGCCGCGGACGGGGCTGAGGGGGAGGAGGCCACCGGCGACATCGAGAGATCGGGCACATCGCCTCGCGGGGTCCAAAGAACACCGAGTGTGTCACTGCGTTGTTCAATCACATAGATCTCGCGCTTGTCACACGTGGTTTGTCCAAGAAGGGTCATTGAAGCAACAGAAGTTGCGGATCTACTGGGATCTGTGCTGAGGGTGCTGGGGCATCAAATCCACTCGTTTGGGGAGATGTTTGGATGTTGGAGTGGAGTTGTGTGTGGGTGTGTTTCTATCTCGGGAAGCTGAGACTCCACCAGCTTTGGTGACGTGAAGACCTTCCCCTGCTTGCATCCTTTGAAGTTTAACAGGCATGAGCACACAACCCTGAGCTGGCTGAGATCTTGAGTCAAGGACATTGATGCCCCAAAAGACTGTTCTCCAAAATGGCCCCCTGTCCTACCCGTGACCTACCTGACCTACACCCGCTTCCCCCTCCTCTCCCTGACTCCAACCTTCCAGCACTGGCGGGAGCTGCGCCCGTGCCCGCCGGTCACCTGCCGGGCGGGGTCCGAACATCATGTCCGTGCTTAAAAGCTTTAGTACATCAGCCGTCTGGCCATCAATGGCGAATTAGGCTGACCACTCCCCCGACTTAGGGACTGTTTTGGATTCACAGCATGTTCAAAACAAGTTGTTCCCCTCCAGCCCTGCTCCATGCCTGCTCCATGCAAACCTGCATTGGTTTCTGGTACGGGTGACAAGGGCGTGCCACCGTTGATCAGCATGGCCGGCCATGCGCGCCAACGGCGCCAAGTTTGGTGTCTCGCCGGCGACCTATTCTTCAAAAATGCACGTGTTTGTGTTGTTGCAAGCTTCTGCGCAGCTCATGGTGAACGAGCCAGCTTGTTTTTGAGGAGCCTGTGCCTAATCATAATCTTGAGTTGCCCTGGAGAATCAAACTTCCATCATCTTTGGTCGGAGGTGGATTCCTCCGCAGTTTGAGCCTAAGCTTGCAAATGAAACACAGTTGCATCACCCTGAATTGTGAGTTGGAACTCCTTCATCAACAAGTTCGCGGGAAAGGAAACCAGCCCACCTTGGACACAGAACCTAATTGGCCGTGACCCCTCCCAACCCACCCACCCTGAGCACTTAAATATTGCCCATGTTAACAGAGTCACAACTGCAAAAATCAAACAACATCACCTTGCATATCCCCAAACCGTCTCCAACGCCCACTGCACGCAGCTCCTTTTTGCCCAACCACCTGCCGCATCGCACTTTGCCAATGCGGAAGAGGCAGCTGGGGCACCTGGTTCCCTCATGCCTTGGCCAGGGCAGGGAAGGCACCGGGCCAAAGCTCCTGGCATCGGATGGGAAAACGATGCCAAGACCGTCACATGGGTCCCTCGGGTCAGGTGTCCATCTCTACATCTCCTTTGTTGCATTGAAAAAGCCCCAGCCAAACCTCCCACTTCGTGTCAAGAGCCATCCTCGCGTCCATGCTGGGGCCAGAGAAGGAGTTTGGACCACTCAAAGGCGCCCAGCCACAGAGCTCCTCCCAAGCCTCAAAGAGGTAAGTGTGTGTCGGCATGCCGAGCTAAGATGAGCTAAGATTGACTTTTTGTGGAACTTCAAGGCAATCTCCAGCTTGAAACGAGCTCCAAGAAGAGATCCAAAACAAGCTACTCTACCTACTGCACTCATCTTCTGCCAGGAGCGACATGAAGATAATATTATATAGGTGGCCGCGACCTCACCGAAGCTTAGTTGGTCAATGCGGTGAGGCAAACAAAACCCTGGTCCCTAAGCACTAGGGGAAAAAACCAGGTCCCTAAACCACCGTCTGATTTCGGGGGTGCAGCTCCGCCTCAAACGGAGCCACGCCTGAGTGGAGTGCGCGTGGAAGGGCCCCTCTAAAGAGGCTCATCATGCCATGCTCCTGGCGAAGGCATTCAACTCCAAACACTGTCGAGCACGTCTAACGGTGTTTTGTGGAACTACGCTCTTTCCAACAATCCAGCAGTGGAACACCATGGACCAATCTGCATCTGTCCTTGCTCATGACACGCAACGTCCGCCAAAGGCCCAGTCGGAGTGCCGGATCTTCCTTCAGAGTGTCAAAACCACGAAGGTGCACTGTGAATCAACCAAACCCCCCTATCAGGATGGCTGTCCCTTCTGTCAGTCAGTCCACGCCACGTACTCCAGTTCTTCACACCACCTCCGGACCGATGCCACCACCTCCAGACCGATGCCAAGCCGCTGTGAGCATGATGCGAGTCTTTGCTGCATCCAAGGGTGTGGTCGCAATGCCTGCGCAGCTGCCCGCCACAAAGCCTGAGCTCCAAGCTGGTGCGTAGAGCCGTGAGCCGATACGAGTAGCGCATCGAAAGAACCTCGAAACGCCTGGCCGCTGGACCCAGGCTGTTCAAACCAAGCTTCCACAGTGCATGCCAATAAGGCCTGCAACAAACATGCTAGGATGGCATGATGCGGCTTACGCTTCACAAGCCCTCATTCGCCCAAAATGCGCATTGCTTGGCCTTGCTCCTGTTTGTTGCCTTCCCTTTGCGCTCTGGCTGCCCAGGGGTGGTTGTGCTTCAGCTCCTCGTCAAGCGACATTCGAGGTGCGCGCCACGTTTGCACCCCATCACCCCCTGAAGAGAAATGGAGTGGGCTAAAAATTGGGCCAACTTCGAACACCATGGACCTTGGCGCCAAAAGAAGCAAACTACGAGTCCGTCACCCGAACGCTCGCCCCTCCTCGAAGAGAGGCATCTGGATGAGTGCAAACGGCACCTCTCCTGCATCGCCAGCGCATGACCCGGCCCAGCGGGTTGGTGTGGACCCTCGAGAGCTGCTGGGGTGCAAAGGAACATCTCCTTCCCCACGGGAGAGGGCCTACAGAAGCGGTGCAAATGTCATTAGAAAGCGAAGGTGGCACTTTCGCCTTCGCGAACATGTACCGAGGCATGTGTCTCAGGAGGAAAGAAAGTGATCATCGTTGACTTTGAAGCGCTTGATGGTAATCTGTGGTGTTCATATCTTATATAACAATTAGAGACGGAGAGAAAGATAGAGAGAGAGAGAAGAAAGAAGAGGGTCATTCATTTTTGGTGCCTCCCATGCAGTTCAAATCCAAACAAGACATAATCTTCCACGAGACCTTGGTCATGCCGGAACGCAGGTAAACAAAGTCACTGAGCAAATCTGCCAAAAACACAAACACCATATCACGCCGACAAAGATTTCCAAGAACAGTGGTGATACCCTTGCAAACCCCAAGTCAAACACGGTCAGCAGGACCCCGGCGCACGCACCCCAACCCACGCGGTTTGCACGCTCCATGCCACCGAGGAACGCATCGCGGTGGCGGCAAAGCCAGCGAAAAAGCCGCGGACCCCCTCTTCCCAGACCTGGGGCGCTGGAGGTCAAGGCTGGTAGATCAAACGCCGAAGGGGCCCATGAAGCCTATGGTGGCTCGGAACGAATGAGAGCCTTCCACTGAAGCTGGCATTCATGAGTAAAGGTGCATGTAAGTGCTGACATTACACCTGAGACCATGGCCTTCGACACGGTTTGTGTGAAGCTCAGCGCAACTCCACAAGGCCCGAGCGCTTGCATGCGCTGTTTGAGCACTTCCTTGGTCCAGCGATGGCTCTGACGACCTGGGTCCTGTCTTCCGAACTTCCTTGAGGGGGGGGGGCGTCCAATGGCTCCAGCTTGCCTCCAGCTCCTGCCGCCCCCTCCCGGTGAGCCCAGCTTCGCACGGCACCCGCACCACACAGGCGCCCACGTCCGCCACCGAGGCGGCCACAGCATCCCGAGACATGGCGATGGACTTGTCATGTTGAGCCACCTGGGCAGATGAAAAAGGTTTTTTGGGACTCCCAGGAATCCCCATGGAAATGGGAAAATGATCCCTTCAATGACCATGTTCCGAATACCATTTACATACATACATATATTGTGAATTTCCAACCTTTCTCAACCATGATCGAAGGCCGTTCGTTCT